ATTTTTGCTTTAATTCATTTAAAATTTGAATCTTTTGAAATTGTGACATTGGAGCTTGCGGATTAAGATTTGGTGCCCATGGCTGCTTGGGGAGTCTTGTCTTGTGGAGGATAGGGAGAAAGGGAGAAAAAGGCATTTATTACACCAGTATAAGATTAAAAAAAAAAAAAAAAGCACCCTTTCCCTTTAAGCCGCCACAAAATTCTTTACTTCTCAGTCGATACACAAAAATTAATGTCTGGGTTGTAAGGATAGGTCCGAGGTGTCCAACCTCGGACTTACTGAACAATTCTTCAACAACCGAAATGAAAGATAATTCCAGGTGCATAGCAGCAACCATGAACATGCCCACACCTGATTCATTACGACAAGGTGTATAGCAGCTACGGTAAGCATATCCACACCTGAATATCTCTCAAATTCCCGGTCCCGAAATAATCATCTGGAGAGACACGTCAGGCTCCGATTATCCTACTTGGCATGCCACGTGGGTTCCTCACTGAGGCCTATAAATACCCCCCAGGAGCCACGTCAAAAAGGTAATTGAAACCAACCATAAGCTCCTTTTACCTTCATTCTATAGGTAACCCCGATTATTGCTGACTTAAGCATCGGAGTGTCTACCCCGAGTATCACCTCGGGGCTTTGCAGGTCAATCCAAAGTGCAGACGTGGACTGAAGAAGGACTTCTGGTTTGTGCAATTACATTTGGCGTCGTCTGTGGGAATCGAACTGAAAGCTTCTTTGTTGCTCTTCCATCATGGTTACTACTCGATCTGTCCGACCTGGACAAGGACAACCGCAGTACCCTAACAACCCTCCACCTCAGCTCCCCAATACATTCCCTCCTGTTGAACACGTAGAAGGAGGTGATGAAAACCAACCTCATGATTCAGCTCATAATTCAGCTCACACCATTAATCATGGAGACGCAGTTACTGCTCAGCTCGCTGCCATGCAGCAGCAGTTCAGAATATTTCAATTAGTCCTGGCACAGCTCTTAGCTCGGAATAACCCAGCTGACCCCCTCATTAACCTACTCAATCCAGCTCAACCACAACACCCCCCAATACCGCCACAAGAACCTCCTCCAATACCCCATAATGAACCCCAACATGCTCCTGTTATCAGTGAATCCTAGGGCCAGTCTCACATTGCCCCAACTCAGCAACCCATACCTGATGATGTTACACAACGTCTAGACAGTTTGGAAAGGTTGGTTGCCGAGCAGCGAGGTGCTCCACCCCCTCATCATGACACTGCCTCAATACCTCACCCTCTCAACACAAACATTACATTAGAACCTTATCCCCCTGGCTTCAAGATACTCCAGCTCGAGACTTATGATGGGACGAAGGATCCCGATGATCACCTACATGCTTTCTACTCCTGCATGCAGACTCAAAACGCCTCTGATGCGTTGATGTGCAAGATCTTCCCTTCTACTCTTCGAGGTAATGCTCGAACCTGGTATTACAGTTTGCCTCTGAGGTCAATCAGGTCTTACACAGAGATGGCATTTGCTTTTGCCACAAATTTTTCTAGTAGAAGGTTGATTCGGAAAACTACTTCTGAGCTAATGCGAGTCAAGCAGAGAGAGGGAGAATCTCTGAAAAATTATATGAGCTGATTCAATGATGCGGTACTGGAAGTTAACTCCTTTGATCAGGCTGTAGGAATCGCAGCTGTTATCTCAGGTCTTAATCATGAAAGGTTCAGAGACAGTTTGATCAAACATCCAGCAACCACCTTCAACGAGGTGAATGACAGATCCTTGAAGTTCATAACTGCCGAGGAATATGCCTTGTCACAGAAGCCAATCCCCTCAAAGAATCAGAACCCAAATTGGAGAGAGGAGAATCAAAGCAGGAAAAGGATGAGAACTGTACTGAACCAAGGTCCGATGTCAAACTCTACACCGAGATTCGGAAGGCCGAACTCAACACCTCCTCCACCTCAACTAGTTCCCAGCAAACCACCAGTTACATGGACTCCTTTCAATCTGCCGAGGTCACAGATTTTCATGCAGATTAAGAACAAGATGGACTTGCGACATCCTGGGCCAATGAGAAGCTCTCCTGCTACCCGAGATCATACTAAGTACTGTGATTTTCACCAAGATCATGGTCATACAACCAAGCAGTGCAATAGCCTGAGGTCCGAACTAGAAAGTCTGGCTGAGAAAGGGATGCTGAATGAGTATATCCAGAGGCTAGAACAGTCGAGGTTTGTCAGAGAATAGGGTCCACAGGCACAGGGAGCCCGTAATGCAGCGAATAGACAAGGAGTGGGATATTAGCAAGCCCCACCTCCACTCCCACCACTAGCCATAATTATACACATGATTACAGGAAGGTTGGAGGCTGGAGGTCTGAGCTCTAAACAGAGGAAACTATATGTTAGAGAGGTCAAGCACCAGAATCGAGCTTAGAAACGCAGACTTAATGATGATGAATGGAAAGATCAACCTATTACTTTTACACCTGTTGACTTTGAAGGTGTCGTCACACCTCATAATGACCCCCTGGTCACTTTTGTTATGATCAATAACTGCCAAGTCCAGCGTGTCCTTGTTGACACTAGCAGTGCACCTGACATCATGTACTATCACTGTTTCGAAAGCTTGGGATTGGATTCAGCATTGTTGCAGAAGTATGATGGCCCCATATACGGCTTCAACAACCAACCTGTTCAGGTTGAAGGAGTCCTCACTCTTAATGTTGCATTCGGTAGTGGTAGAACTTATGTGACTCCCTCAGTTTTGTTTCTAGTTGTAAAAATGCCTTCTTCCTTCAATATCGTCATTGGCCGACCCACATTAACAGAAATCCGAGCTGTCGTCTCCCAATCTCATCTCTGCATGAAATTTCCAACTCCCATGGGAATAGCAACTTTAAAGGGTAACCAAGAAGTGACCAGGCACTGTTATCTCACCTCGGTCACACAACCTTAGAAGGAGAAAGACCATGCAACGAATAATTCTCCACAGGAAGTTACTGACAACCAGCAGGTGATGGGGGTTGAAATAATAGATAACAAACTTGAGGATGAATCCCGAACTGCTCTTGTTGAAGATGTTGAAGAGGTACAGATCGATGACAGAGATTCGAGTAGAAAGACTCAAATCGGGACTAGATTAAACCCTGAGGAAAGAGCAGAGCTAATAGCTTTCCTCTGAGCTAACAAAAATGTCTTCACCTAGACCTTGGTAGACATGCCTGGAATTCCGACCTCGGTAGCTCAACACAAGCTCAGCACCAACCCACTCAAGAAACCAGTACCTCAGAAACGGCACCTCTTTAGGGGGGGAGAGGTTATAGGCCATAAAAGAAGAGGTAGAAAAACTCTTACAAGCTGGTTTCATTAGAAGAGTTGATTACTGTGAATGGGTCGCTAACCTAGTGTTGGTTAAGAAATCGAATGGGAAATGGCGGATGTGCATCGACTATACAAATCTCAACCAGGCTTGTCCAAAAGACTGTTACCCAATGCCAAATATTGACAAACTGGTTGAAGCAGCTTCTGGGAATGAGAGACTAAGTCTCTTGGATGTATATTCTGGCTACCATCAAGTCCCGATGGCCCCTAAGGACCAGGAGAAGACCTCGTTCTATGCTGGCGATGAGATCTATTGCTATATGATGATGCCTTTTGGCTTAAAGAACGCAGGTGCCACTTACCAGAAGATGGTTACCATCGTGTTCCGAGCTCAGATAGGCTGGAATCTGGAAGTATATGTTGATGACATCGTGGCAAAGAGTCTGAAAGCTGAAGATCACTTAGTCGACCTCGATGAAACCTTCAACAATCTCAGAAAGAATAGAATGAGGTTGAATCCAACAAAATGTATCTTCGACGTGAAGTCCGGAAAGTTTCTAGGCTTCATGGTGTCCAGAAGGGGGATTGAGGTTAACCTCGAGAAGATCAAGGTAGTGGCCGAAATGGAGCCGCCGAAGTCAGTAAAGGATGTGCAGAGGTTGACGGGGAGAGTGGCAGCTCTCCACAGATTCATCTCGAAGTCTGCAGATAAGTGTCTGCCATTCTTCAAAATCATGAGATGAGCAGCACAGAAGGATGAATCTGGCAAACAGAAAAAGTTTGAATGGAATGAAGAATGCCAAGCTGCATTCGATGAGCTGAAGTTTTATCTTAGCTCACCCCCGTTACTTACCAAAGCTGTTGATGGAGAAATCCTCTACCTGTACCTAGGCATCTCAGATGAAGCAATCAGTTTTGTGCTGGTGAGAGAGGAAGGGAAACAGTAAAGACCAGTCTACTATACCAGCAGCGTATTACATGGTGCCGAAGTCAGGTATTCTATTACTGAAAAAGCAGTTTTAGCAGTGGTCACTTCGGCCAGAAAGCTGAGACCATATTTCCAGTCACATCCAATCATCGTCCTCACGGATCAACCTCTCAGACATATTTTACAAAAGCCAGAGTGCTCAGGTAGATTGATCAAGTGGGCAGTTGAATTGGGAGAATTTGAGATAACATTTCAGTAGAGGTCAGCAATCCGAGCTCAGGCTCTTGCAGATTTTATTGTGGAGTGCACCTCGGCTCATACTGATCCCCAACCTGAACCGGACAGTTGGACTTTATATGTTGACGGGGCATCAAGTAGCAAAGGTTCTGGTGCTGGTGCGATCTTACTTGGCCCTGAAGGATATCGTAGTGAGTATGCTTTGAAATTTAATTTTGAAGCCACCAACATTATGGCTGAATATGAAGCTCTACTGCTTGGCTTACAATTGGCATTAGAACTGAAGGTTGCGGCAATTCAGATATACAGTGACTCTCAACTTGTGGTCAATCAAGTGAATTCTGTTTGTGAAGTGGTTGATCCTGTGATGATGAAGTATGCAACTATGGTGGCCGAACTGAAATCCAAGTTCCAGAAATTCTGTTTGAGCAAAATACCCCGAGCTGAAAACGAACAAGCAGATTCACTCTCCAAGTTTGCCTCTGATGGCAGCCAAAGCTCCAGATCAGTTTTTGTTGAAATTCTGAATGAGCCTAGTTTTCAAAAACCAAAAATGATGGAGATCAGCACTAATCCTGATACGCCGAGCTGGACAGACCCAATCATCTCTTTCTTGCGAGATGGAACAGTTTCTGCAAATAAGCACGAAGAGATGAGGTTGAGAAAGAAAGCATCTCGGTACACACTCGTTCATGGGGCCCTTTATAAGAGATCTTTCTCACTCCCTCTACTCCGCTGCTTGAGCCCTTATGAAGCTGAATACGCACTTCATGAGGTACATGAAGGTGTCTGTGGAAGCCACATCAGTGCTAGAACTTTAGCCCACAAAATCCTCAGACAAGGATACTATTGGCCCAACATGTATAAAGATGCCACTCAGTTCATACAGAGATGTTCGAAGTGCCAATTCTTTACACATCTAACTCACCAGCCGGCAAAAGAGCTCACTGATCTGGTAGCACCTTGGCCATTTGCTCAGTGGGGACTTGATCTTCTGGGTCCATTCATGAAGGGGGTCGGAGGTGTAACACATCTGATTGTCGATGTGGATTATTTTACCAAATGGGTTGAAATTCGGCCATTATCCAGTCTTACCTCCAGGAAGGTTGAAGACTTTGTTTTCAGCTCAATCATTTGCAGATATATGGAATCCTGAATCAAATTGTGGCTGATAATGGAACCCAGTTCAACTGCTCCTCATTCAGAGATTTCTGCTCCAGTTATGGGATCAAATTACAGTTCACCTCGGTATATCACCCAGAATCCAATGGCATGGTAGAATCTGTTAACAAAGCCATCCTTGAAGGAATAAAGCCGAGGTTGGAGCAGCATAAAGCCAGGTGGGTAGACGAGCTCAATAACGTCCTCTAGGCATATAGAACCACGAGCCGAACTGCCACAGGTACTACTTTAAACCTGACTTGGTTAATTTCCATATCACTTTATTTCTTTTTCTCTTTTTCTATGACTCTACTTTAGAACAAATATGCATAACGCGTAAAGCGCATTCTAAAGTTATAACTTAATTCAATAGGTGAAATACCCTACCATCTGACCTTTGGTACTAAAGCAGTCATTCCTATTGAGATAGGAGTCCCAAGCTTCAGGGTCACCCATTTCGATGAAGGACGAAATGGAGAACTGCTTTGGGAAAACCTTGATCTGCTTGAAGAAGTTAGAGAAGAAGCACAACTTCGAACTCTAGTTTACAAGTAGAAATTAGCTAACTTCTACAACAAATGGGTTCGACCCCGAACATTCAAGATAGGAGACCTCGTTCTCAGGAAAGCTGGTCTAACGGGGTTCGAAACTCGATTTGGCAAGCTAGCACCAAACTGGGAAGGTCCCTACACTATAGCCAAAGTGCCGCACCCAGGTGCTTATATCCTACGGGACACCGAGGGCAAAAGAGTTCTTAGAGTCTGGAATGTAAATAACTTGAAGAAGTTTTATCCTTAATATACTTCTTTCAAGAGAACTTTATCTTTTTTTTACAATTGTCATTACTTTCTCTCCTTCGGCTCAATCTAATGTATATATGAGCTCAATTCATTTATCTCATTAATGAACTCCACTTCACGTTCGAAGTGGTTCAGCTCTCTATACTACTCTGTACATCGGAAGTAAACTTCATTTATATCTGAGGTCGATTCCTTGTGATTTACTTAGTCATTTCACTTTCTAGAATATGATTTTATTCATAAATTCCACTTCACATTTGGAGTAATTTACTTTATCTCTTTTTGAGGTTCACCCAATGTTTTTCCGAAGTCAATTCTTTGGCTTTTAGTGTTATTACTGACATCTGAAGTCAATTCCTTGCGCGTTAACCCAGGGTCAATTTTCTAACACACCTCGAGGTCAATTACTTGTATTCATTAAAGTTCACTTTATCTGAAGTGAATTACTTCAAAAATTAAAGTGCAAACAAAACTCAAACATTAAAGCACAAATATCATGAATAACTTCCAAATTTTATAAATTAATGAAATTTACAAAATTGTTCACTACAAATGCAAACCAAAAAAAAAAAAAAATAGTGAAATAAACAAAAAATCCTATAACTACTCCGTTGGAAGTGGCGGTTGCTCCTTTGCAGGGGGAGGCGGAGGAAGTGGCTCTTCTTCAGTTGGAGGGGGCGGCGGATCTGCTATAGAAGTAGGAGCCCCTTCTACTTCTTCAAAAGCTGGCGGCACTTCGGATGAGGACACCGGATGGGGTGCTGCCTCTGTACCTTCTACCTCTGCCTCTTCTTCTTCAACTGCAACAAACTTGACTTCGAACTTCGGTGGGAAAATGATCAACCCGTCCTTGGTGTGTTCCCATTTCAGCTCCACTTCAGGTTTGAAGTCAGCGTTTAAACTCTCACCATCTTCTTCCACTCCTTCCTCTTGCTCACCGAATGTGACTAAGGTTACATCCACCTCGGGATACTTCGCTTTTAGCTTTTTTCTACATTCGGTGAAGGCAAGGACGGCAGTTGGTAGTCGGTACAGATTCACAATCTCCTCGAAAGCATGGGACTTCAAGAACCCAACAATGTGCTGTTCCATTGAGTTGTGGACCATCACCTCGACCTTCTTCTTGAAGTCGGTCATGCTTTCCTCCATCCATTTCATCTCCTTCTCTTGAGCATCAATCGTGTACTCACATATCTTTCTCTTCTGCTCTTCGAACACAAGCCTGGTGCTCAGGGTATCTCTTTCACTCTAGAGTTGAGTGACTATTGGCACCACCTCATCCAGCTTCCTCTACAGCTCTTTATTCTTCCTTTCCACCTCCTCCTTTTCCTTCTGAAGCTCCTCGCACTGCCTCGGCAAGCTGTTACCCTCTTTCACACTTTCAGAAAATTCGTGTGCCAGAGCATTAACCCAACTTGCGCTCTGCAATACAAGCAGAAGTCCATTCAAAAAACATAAGGAAGGAAAAAACAAAGAAAGGTAAAATGACACCCACAACATTCAATTTAAAATACCTCCAAGGCGTGCTTGACCACTATCCCCGCACCTCGGCTCATCACCTCTTCTCTCGCCTGGCGTTGATCCACGGCGGGGAGGGTGGCTTTTAGGAACCTTTTTGCCCCCGTCGAGTTCTTGGGGTTAAAAAGGCTACTCTGAAAGAGAGGAGGAAGGGTAAACTCCTTCCCTTTGCTTGGAGCCCGTGCCTCTGTCTCCTCACTCTCCCTAACTTCGGGAGCGAGCTCACAGGAGGAGGACAAGGCACGAACTCCACCACCTCATCTCCTTTAGCAAAATCCTCTAGCAGATCCTTCTTCTTCCTCTTCAGAGGCTGCACTTCCTCACTTGTCTCCTCACTGGCCTTCCTCTTAAGATCCGACCGTGGTGGAGCCTCCAAAGCCGGAACCGAAGTGCGTGAGGTTGTCTGCTTCTTAGGCACCCCCTTACCTGCCGCAGTTGAAGTCCTTGACTTCTTCCTTGGCTTCTTAAAGATGGCCACTCCCCCAGCAGAGCTAAAAAATTTCTCCATTTCAGCTGAAAAAACAACACAAGTATTAAAAACAAAAACCAAAAACCTTACACAAAAACGTACAACAAACAATCAACACACACACCTTCGCTCAATGAGCTCGGCCCATAGAGCTCAGCACCATTTATCGCCTCCGAGCTGGTGAGGTACAAAATATCTACTAAATCTCCCTCCTCCCTCACCAGCTTCTCCACCTCTTCCTTCTCATCCTCATTTAACTTATACTCATTCAACTTGGCTTTCTTAACTTTCCAAGCTGAAAGGTACTCTACTTCGGCCTCCCTCCTACTCCACTCGGTGTCATCCACAAAGAAGAATTTTTCCTTCCACCCTTTAATGGATGACGGTCCAGGGGTGAATAAACTCCTATTCCCCTTGCTGGATGTCTGAGGACCGAAGTAGTACCACCCCCTCTCACTCTTACCCCCGTATTTTATTAAGAAAAAATGCTTAAATATACTTACAGTCGGGACCCCAACCCCCCGAACTCGGCAGTATACTAGGAAACCTATTATCATCCTAATAGCATTTGGGGTTAGCTAGGTTATTCCTATACTATAGTTTAACAATAGTCCAACCAGCAACTCCGGGGGAGGGAACCTAAGCCTTGTTGCCAAGTAATGGACATACATTGGCATCCAATGGTCACGGGGTGTTGAGCACGCTTTCTCATTCACCTCGGCAGGCCTTATTAACACGTGGGGAGGAAGATTACAATTACGGGAAAGGTTCCTAAGACTCCCCCTACTACCCAGCTCACTCTTATACTCCCTTACCTCTGATACTATGCCCATCTTCGGATCATAACACCCACCCAGTTCATTATCAACCTCCATGATATTAGTGAGAATATCGTCTCCCTCACCCACGCTCTCCTCCGCACTCACCCCTTCCCCTGTCCTTCCCGAACTGGAAGGACTGCTCTCCTCATCCATACCCATATATGCCAAAGGCATAACATCCTCACCCACTACATCACTCATTTTATCCTCCGAAGACATCTCCTTGATTTTTGCACGAAGTCGGGAGGAGGAATGAAGTTAGCACCCTTAAAAAACCCTAACCTCCTCCAAAATACTAAACCTAGAAAGGAAGAAGCGAGAAGAACACCCCACTGAAATCAACATTACAAAAACATAAAATTACTTGATTTCGGTCCCTTGAACTTAGTGTTGAAAGTTTCGAATGTAACTCAGAACTCGATCACAGGAAAGCGTAGAAACTTTGGTAGCAGAATAGTAGCAAAAATAACAAAGGTAAAACCCTTTTCTGTAGAAAAATACCTATTTATACTAAAGGAAAAATACGTATCAACGGCTGTGATCAATCGTATCTAACAGCCATAGAAGACACCGTTTCGGATTCAACGGTTAAACCTTAACGGCACCTTTTTGTATTAAACGGTTCATTTCTCAGTGCGTCCTTTACACTGTTACGGTTATGACCGTATTTATGGCGCACGTCTTTTAATAGACAGCTGTCACATCACGTGACAACTTAACGTCAGGCTTTTCAGCCAAGTACACTGAAGACTATTTAAATACTTCTTTCACTTTCACAAATTTTGTTAAAATTTTACAAGTGTTTCACTTCGGCTATCGACCTTGTGACTATGGTCAACGCACTTCACTTCGGCTACGATCCACATGACTCATATCAATGCACTTCACTTCGGCTATGGCCATTATGATTTGTATCTTTGCATTTTACTTCGGCTCCGGCCATTATGTCTCATGTCATTGCATTTCACTCCGGCTTCGGCCCATATGACTCAGGTTATCATATTTTACTTCGGCTCCAGCCCCAGTGACCTTGCGTCACATGTTTTTACCATCGCTCCGGCCACAGTGACCCCGCGTCACATGTTTTTACCATGGCTCCGGCCACAGTGACCCCGTGTCACATGTTTTTACCTTAGCTCCAGCCACAGTGACCCAGTATCAGATGTTTTACCTCGGCTCCAGCCATAGTGACCCCACGTCACCTGTTCTCACTTCAATTCCAATCATAGTGACCCAGCGTCACATATTTTACTAGTACTAAATGATTTCATAGCATGCTTCTCGCACCAGTTAATCTGGCATTATCTTTATCACTTGCTATTATATATTTTTACCTGCACACACACTTCCCTCACCACATCATTCACAAGTGAA